GGTAAATACAATAACAATAAAGATTATACAAATAACAAATATAAATGGCTAACAATAAAAGAGATACAAGAAAGAATAAAAAAAATAACAAGTGAATGGAATGAAGGAGAATACGAAGAAATACTTAAAAAATATGAAGGTAAAAGAAAAAGATGGTATGATATTCTTCAAGAAGTATATTCAATCAAAAAGAAAAAGATAATTGAAAAGACGAAAGAAGAGTTTAAAGAAAAAACAAAAGATTGGGAGGAAAAAGACATTAAGGCTATAGAAACAGAAATTAAAAACAAAAACCCAATTAAAGAAATGAATGATAGATGTAAAATTGCAAGAATAATAAATAGCAAAGAAAGTATAATGAAAATACAAGAAGAAACAAAAAATAAAGAAGAAAAGATAGAAGAAGAAAAAGATAAAGAAGAAATACTTGCTCTGAAAAATCAAATTACTGAATTACAAGGAAAACTTAAAGAATTAAGTATGAAAAGAATGGAAGAAGAACAAGCGATTTCAGAAGAAATGATGAAAAAAGCAAAAGAAATAGTCAAAAAAGAATTTGAAGAAGAAATTACAGAAATGAAAACACAAAATAGAAAGATTCAAACGAATTATGAAGAAATGAAGAAAGAAAATGAAAAATTAGAAGAAAGAAATTTAAAATTACAAGGAAAAATAAATGAGATAGAAGGAAAGAAAATCACAGAAGTAAATAATAAAGAAGAAAAAATCCGAAGTATCCAAGCTAATAAAAAGAAGATGGAAAAAGAAAATGAAGAAATGAAAGAAGAAATTGAAAGGTTGAAAAAGAGAAACAAGATACTAGAACAAAATACAAACACACTAGAGAAGAAGATTGAAATGATAGAAAAAAACACTGAAGAATTAAAGAAGGAAATAAGAGATAAAGAAAAACAAATCTCTGAATATCAAGAAATTGCAATTAAAAACCAAGAAATTGCAGAAATAACAAGAGAAGAATTAGACAACACACAAAAAGAAAATGAGACACAAAAACAAATAATAACAAAACAACAAGATGATATTGAAAATTTTATTTCACAGAAGGGATTAGAGAAGAAGAAAACGATGACACTTGTGATAAATACACAACCAGTACTGAGGAAAGCATCATCGGGAACGATGGAGATGAACGAAACTACTCCTATGAAAAAGACAGTAGTGGAAATCGAAGAGAAAAGCAAAGCACTGATTGTCAAAAAACAAGAGATGATAGTCAGACAAGAAATACAACAAACCAAACGAATAGAATTTTAATTGAAGTGTTGTATTGTTTTGCAATTAATTGGTTGAATAAGAAATTATATAAGAAATTAAGATGGGAAGCAATTGAAAATATAATAAAAGTGATAAACATCAATGTCAATAATGAAAAAGAATATATTAAATATATTAAAATGTCACATAAAATAAAAGAAAGCATTAAACAATACATTAAAATGAAAGTAAATGATATAATAGAAGGAAGAGTAGAGTGTAATTCAATAATAAAAAACATCATATTAAAGAATAACTCTACAGAAATTGATGAAGAATACCTTAACATTATTATCAATAAAATAAAAGAAATGAAAATAGAAAAATGTTCAAACATTAATTACTACTTTCAAAGAAAAGAAGCTGACCGATTAATAATGGAAAATAATAATATATGGATATGGTCAGGAAGCAGAATGCATTATCTGCAAGATGATATGAAAAGGATTTCAATGATTATTCACCTCTATCTCCAAAATAAAATAATAAGAGATAAATTTGATGAAATAAAAGAAATCCTAAAGAAAATAAATAGACTAGAAGATTTGGTCAAGGGAAGAAAATTGTACAGAATAAAGTGCATCATGAAATTAAATGAACATGATGAATAAAATATTAAAAATAAAACACTAGAAAGAATAAAGCACCTAAAATATATGATGACAATGATAAAAGAAAGAATTAAATTTAATAAGGAAGAAATAATCAGAATCAATACAAATAAAATCATGTTTGATTCTAATAAGAAAATTAAAATAAGGAAGAAAGACCCAAAAAATGAAATATACCCAAATAACGATATTACTTTAGAATATTGGAAATGTTATATGAAACACAGGTGATATTAAATAAAAAGAATTGGAAAATAAAACAAATCACCTCGTGGAATGAAATATATAGAAATTATGATAATGTCATTATAACAATAAATGAATTAAATATAAGTATAATGAGAATAAGTAACTGGAAAGCACCATGAATAGACACTATATATGGGTATTATTGGAAAAGGATGTCATCATCAAGAGAAATCATTCTCAATATCTTTAATGAATGGTTGAACTTCCCCGAAAACATCCCATTAGACATGGTAAGTGGAAGAACTTTATTAATCCACAAAGGAGGTGATAGGAACGACGTGGCAACGAAAAAAAGCAAATAATTGAAAAAGAAGAGAATGAATGATATAAAAGAATAAAAAGAAAGTAAAAAGTAGATGAAGATGAAGAAAGAATAAAAGTAGAAAGGAGAGAATATAAAAAGAAAGAAGATAAAGTGTAATAAAACAAAAGAGATGATAAAAGAAGAATAGAAAGAAAAAAATAAAGGATGCAAATTTTATTGAAACAAATAAAAAAAGCGCAAAATTTAATGATGCAAAATTTAATGATGCAAAATATTTAGCAACATATTTTATTGATGCAAAATATTTTGAAATAAAAATAAATCATCATTTGATATTATTATATTTG